AAAGCTGAGCAAGGTCTTGAGAAACAGAAAAATATTGTTAAAAATAAAGAGTCCTGAAGTATCAGTCCTTCCATATGGCAGTGAATATTGGACAATCTCCTCAAAGATGAAGAAGACACTTGAAGGAACAGAAATGTGGTTCTACAGAACAATGCCAAGAATACCATTAATCGAACATGTGAGCAATGACAAAGTTCTAGAGACAATGGCAACAAAAAAAAAAAAAAATACTTATTAGGAAGAGACAGTTGAAATTTCTTGGGTACATAAGGAAGAAAAAGGGCTTGGAAATTTTGATACTCACAGGATAGATTGAAGGTAAAAGAGACAGAGGAAGGCAACACACAACCTACCTGGCAACCTTGAGTGAATGGATGACAAAGCAGAGTTTGGGAGACATGGCAAAATGACTAAAGATATTAATAGCTACAAGGCACAAGAAATTGTGGAGAGCCATGATTGTCAAAGTACAGATTTCTAATTCTGTTTTCTGTTATTTTTTTTAAATATGATAATATTTATCAAATCTGAAGACATTATATCACAAATTTATGTTAATAAATCTAAAATGCACAAGTTTTTATTAAATGAATAAAATGTATTTTTTTCTCTTTTTTGCAGGTAAGTGTTAATTTTTATGGAAAATATTCTGCAGTTTTGGTAAGATATTTTCTCATAATTTTTAAATAGTTTTTTTTTTTTTGTTATCCGCCATTATATCTTTTTATTGTAAACTCCATTTTAATAGGTTAATGTGTTTGAGTTGACATCGCTGTTTTTTATTCTCTTAAACAGTGAAACTAATATCAATCAAACTAGATTGAGAAGTCCCATTAAAAATAAAATAGACCTCCCAACAGGAATCAAATCTGTAACCCCACTTTTTTTTTTTCCATCAGGGAAACTACTCTTATAGACAAAGAGTACTGTTGCCAATTTGGTCAGGGTAAGCAGTCATGTTAAAGTGAAGCTCAATTACTTGTTATTAAATTTCTTGTTGGTACTTCTTTGAATTAATATTTTCTAACTTCCTTTTTGCACCCAAAACATGAACATAGTAATTTCTAAATGGATTTTTTTTATCCAACATTATTTTTTTATTATTATTAAATGTCACTTTTAGCAGTTACACAATTTTTGAGTTGATATCCTTGTTTTCTTGTGTTGTTCTTTACAATTTCTGATCTCAACATCAAGGAAAGTGAAATCAGATTCTGGTGATTAATTTTAAGATTTTTGTTTATTGTTTGATATTATCTCAAAATTCTAATTTCCTTCTTAATTCCATGGCTGACTTTGGGAGAATGTGATATATAAATTTCTTCATATTGGAACAATATTAGGTGTATGAATGACAAAGTGGGGAAAAAATTCTGTCTCATGAGTTTTGTCCTCTAGAAGGACAAATTACCTGACTTTGCCAAATTGTCCTTGAGATTCTTTATGCATCTTTTATTATGTTTTTGTACTTAGAATAGAAATTGAAATAATTTTTTTGCAGCATTGGCAGTCAAAATCTCATGTTGTCAGTGGTTGATTAATGGAATTTTGTCTACAGAAATTAGGTTGAATAAAAATAGTAGATTACCAGTATAGACTAAGACTGGTGGAGATGTAAACCAACATAGAAAGTGTAACGCAAGTAGAAAGATTCAGTTTCTTTTTTATGCTTGACTCAGTGACTAGAAAAGGAAAATCTATCTTCTTCAATTATAGAAGAACTTCTAGTCTATTATTAAAGTGTCTGAATCTTGCTCCTTTCTTTCTTGATTGTCTTTAAAATATATTTTTTTGACACACCCTTTCATCATTTATTGTTGCAATTATTTTCATTTCTTTGCCTTTTTTCACCGCATCTGTTTCAAAGTCATGCTTTTGAAGTGAAAAGAAAATCATAACAAAAGTATTAAAAGATGCCATCATCTTTTTAATTTCATGCCTGACCTGACAATTTGATCTTTGGATTCTATCTGTAGAATGTGATACTTCCCGCTGATTGTGTTTTTCTGAAATTTCTTCTTTACTCTTTTGAATAATTTTCAAGTAATAATCTATTAGTTGCGTCTGAAGATTTTAAGTTACAGTTTCACTTTGTCAGTGTATATAAGTTACAGTTTCACTTTGTCAGTGTATAAATAATTGAAAACATGTTTTGCATTTGAATCACATGCTTCTCTTCATTTATGATTCATGGTAGATTAGAATCTTGATTTTGATTGAGATACATCTTGCTTAAAATAGTTTAGTTTTCTTGATAATGAGCATCACAAACCAGATATAAATCACTGAATCTCACAGTTTAGACCTTTTTCTGCTTCCAATAACAATATTTTCACAAGATTTCTGTGGTAAAAAGTTTAAAATGTATAAAGGATTTTCACTTCATCTATTTTAATTTGCATCATTTTCACTTAAAAGATTCTGTCTTATACAAAGTCTCTCAAAAAATGTCTAAACATTTTGAAGCTTTCTCAAGAAATAATTCAAGCAACTAGAACCAACTCTATCTATAAAGCATATGGAGACAGTATTTAAAATAAATGCATGCTCTTAAGATTTTGTCATTGCATGTTTTCAAATTGATGTCCTTTATGATCCAGATATTGTTAGCAACACAACACAACAGAATCACAAGCAGCAATCAACATAGGTTTCTTGGACATTTGTAGAAACTTTTCATCACTCTTGCTTCACAGGGCGTGGTTGATAATCCATGGTTTTTCAGAAGAGTTCTTGTGCTCATCATGTACAGTACCATTAGCTTTAAACTTATTTCTAATTTGTGAGATTATAAACCACACAAGTTGATCTGAATGAAACACTCTTTGATACCGCCTTTGAACTTCAACTGCATTTTCATATTTCCAGTAGCATTTCAGGATCAACTTTCTTTGTTCAAAGCTAAGCCTCGATGACATTAGTAATACTAATGTGTCAGTCTGAAAAGAAAGCAAGTTGTTTTGAGCTGTACACTGTAAAAGTATGTATGGATTTTTTTGACACACTCTGTATGACCAAATGACCAAACATGATATGTTTTGTTAGAGAAAAGGCTTTCTGATTAGGCAGAGAATTTTTCAGAACATCCTTGTATGTAGTTTTTTCAATTAAAAATTACAGTAATTAGTCATTTACAGGGGATTTTATTCATGACATCGGCTCATTGTTTTGCAATATAAGTCTTTAAGTTCCTGCATTTTAACAGAGACATGGTTATGTCAATAAGGCCTTTTATTTTATTATACAACAAATATTAATTTTTCAATATAATCTCTTGACATGTCAATGCACTTAATTCAGTCATAAAAAACTATTAGAATAGAACTTACAGTTACATCTATAGCTAGTTTGACAGTAAAATGATAAAACCTAGTTGCCTGTCTTCTATTATGTCTAAATTCCTGCTGTCATGGTACCAAGGAGGAAAGTTCATTTGCCATGAAAATATTTATGGAAAAACACAGGGAAGCCATCTCACGGCAATGAAAAAATGACTGGAGCTGAGTTCGTAGGTTAGAACTGATAGGATTGCAGCAGACCCTTCTTTCAATTTTATCAAGAATCTTGATATATACAGCAGTAGCATGAGACCAAATGTGACAGTATTATTCGATGCATGGTAGATTAATAAAAGAGCAAATTTGCTTATCACAATCACAACACAATGAACCAATTTTCTTAGCAACAGCTCTAGCAATTGATTCAATATAACCATTTTATTTTATGTCAATAGAAAATGTGAGTCCAAGAAGGTACAGTGAGTTTCTCTCCTGGAGGTTAGCATCAGTCATGTTAATGGAAAACGAAAATAGTTCTCTAAGACGACTAAAAGACAGCAATTTCATTTTGGAGGCATTAAAGTTACAAGCCATCCCTTGCTTCAGCTAATAACAGATTGGAGGTCATTTTGGAGATCAGCAACTAGTTTTATTTTATCAGACTGAGTCAGTACCTAGATGGGTGAACACTTGGGAATGTAAGTTTGGATGTGTGGGTGGTGTAATGGATAATGGCTAAAAATTGGAGAGCTGAGTTCCAATTCCAGTCAGGTTTATTATATTCACTTACGCACAAATACCTTTGGGAAAGATATGAATCCACTCCCTTCTCTCCCCAGGTATGGGCTAATTAGTAGGATTCTCATCAGTAAATCATTATTATCTCCCAAAAATTCTTACAATCTAAAAATATTTTCTGGCTTTAAATAACCTGCAAACGGTTAATAAGCTGTGAAAAACAAATTAATCAATTAATAAACCTATCATTTAACTACTTTTATATATTTGTAACATCTACAGTAGCAGCTGCATAAATATTTTTAAAACTGTTTCAATAAGACTTTTTTTTTTCTACAAGTCAAAAAAAAGATTTTCCTTTTGGTTTATTTGCTTTACTCACCTAATACCTGCCATGGTCAATTGACTCTTTAAGCTTGGAAGAGTTTAAAAGTCTGAGGAGACAAGATTCTGAATGTAAAAAAAAAATGATGTGAGAGGAAAAAAGCAAAAATAATAGAAATAGATAGAAACAGAATTGATACTACAAGAGCGGAGCGCAAGGAAAGAGAAGATATAATCATGAGAGATAGAAAGGAAAAACTAAGAAATTATATTTTTTATAATGTGCTGAATAGAAAAAGAAAAAGAGTAGACAAGATAAATTAACAATAAAACATAAAAAAGGCAAAAGAAAAACCCTTCACAAACCACAGCTAGACAGCTAACATGGCCTCTTGACAAATGCAAGGTCAAACATAATAGGGGTGCATTATTGAATCTGTCTCTCTTGTTGAATGAGCATACTTGAATAAACTATTATGAGAATTTTCTACAGTGGAAGAATTTTAACCCTTTCCTCTCAGAATTTCATTTTCTCTTCTTTTAACCGTTATGAGCTCAGTAAAAAAAAATGTTTTTTAATTACAAATAAATGAAAAATTGTTATCAAACTCCAATAGAAAAACAATGTAGATTAATGAAAGAACAAAAAAAAATTTTCTCAGGAAACACAGGTTCTTGTTCAATCACTAAAGTTAAGCAATGTCAAGCCTGGTTAGTACTTAGATGGGTTACCACTTGAGAATACCAAGAGCTGTAAGCTTGGATGTAGAAATGGTATAATAGAGGATGACTTGGAATTGGAAATCAGAGAGCCAGTTTCCAATTCAGTCAGCTTTGTTATATTCCCATAAACCTATGGGAAAGATATAAATCCACCTTTCCTACCTCCAGCTATGGATTAATTTGTCAGACTTGCATCAGTAAATCATTATTATCTAAAAATACTTTCTGGCTTTAAATAACCTGTAAAAGGTTGATAGCCTTAAAAATTCAAATCAGTCAATTTACTGTTTCTCGGGAATTGCAGAAAGAAATTGTGATTTGAAAGGATGCCTGGAAAGGTAGCAACTTGAAAATCAACTTCCTGTGGATGAAGTGTGTATGTAACTGAACAAAAAATTCAGACAGCTATAAACAATAAAAAATAAATTTTTGGATTGTTTGATTTTATTGATTCTTTACAGGTTTGATACCCCGACTCTTCCGAAAAGGCTAACATCGACTCATTGTCTATTGTTTGTTCACAGACTAACTTAATCTAATTGCACCCTATGACCTTATTTGCTTTGTCTATTGTTTTATTATTTAGAGTTTTATTTTTGAAACATATCCTCTTTTTGAGCAACAATACTCATTTTTATCAAATTACTCCTTCAAAATCATACTCTTTTTTATGTTCTTTGCTTTTTATACAGAAACTCTCTCTGTTTTTTTCTTCTCTGTACTCTCTCCATGTCCTGAAGGGATAATCATTGCTCTCCACAACTTCTTATCCTTTGTAATTCTTAGCAATGTTTACTTTTTTTACTATCCCTCCCATCTGCTGTTCTGCCATCCGTCTATACAAGCTCATTATGTAGGTTCCTCTCTGCTTTCCTCTGTCCATCTTGCCTTCAGTATTTTTTATTCTTTAGAAATGGCTAAAAACAATTTCTTCCTTCTTTACTTTCTTCAGTTGCTCTCTCACTGTTGTACTCTTTCTTTTTTGTCTCTCTCACATTAACTCTTCATTTTGGACATTATTTTTTATTTTATTCATTTTCTATCTTTTATAAAATTTCTGATAAAAACACTCTTATAAGTCTGATTAGCAATTATTGTAAATATATTGCAATATTTGTGCAATTATGATATAGCATTAGTCAGCAAGACAGGCTTGCAATTGATTCTTAAAGAGTTTGATCAACACAGGCTGCTCCACATTTAACCCTCTGTATCAGATTAAACTAACTTTAATGAATATCTCCTAAACACTTGATATGGAATCATGCTTTGTAATGACAATTTTTTTATAATGTTATTTTTTATAAGATTATGCTGTAGTATCTGTTAACATTTCCTTCAACTCCACCCCCAACAAAGAACCTCCTATCACTAGAACCTCGTTCTACTATCAACAAGTGGATTGGGACTCGTTCTGTGACTTCCTCCACGATGTCCCCTGGGATGTTGTCTTTACACTCCCTGTCCAAGAATGTGCTTCTGAGGTCTCATATTGGGTTAAAGCTGGAATCGACGCTTTCATCCCCTCAAGGAAATTTAAGGTCAAGTCGCACTCCTCCCCTTGGTTCTCCACTGCTTGCTCAGCCGCCATTGCCCATAGGAACCACTTCTTTCACCTATTTTGTAGCAACATGTCGGACTGCAATAGACGTCTCTTTGCCTCCGCCCGTAACAAGTGTAAGCGTGTCCTCAATGAAGCTAAGTCAATATTTGCTGCTCGGATGAAGGAGCGTATTGCATCTCGCAAATTTGGCTCCAAAGATTATTGACGGCTATGCAAGAGTATCCTGAACAATAGAAAACCCTCCATACCTCCTTTGTTCAACCACTTTCGCAAAGTCTTTGAAGCCCTAATCAACGCCGAAGTGGTTAACAACCTTACCTCACATGACCTGCTCTCAGACAAGCAATATGGCTTCCGCTACGCCCGATATACAGCTGATGTGCTTATGGCCATCACTGAAACCGTCTACCAAGCCCTTCAAAATAACGGTGAAACTTGTGCCGTGGCCCTAGACATCTCCAAAGCATTTGATAGGGTTTGGCATGCCGGCCTTCTTCGTAAGCTCCAGGGTTATGGTATTAGAGGTCGATTGTTTGACCTAATACAATCATTCCTGTCAAACAATGAATTGAAGGTCGTTCTATCCCACAAACGCAGGTGTTCCCCAAGGCTCCATTCTTGGCCCCACTCTATTCCTTATTTTCATCAACAACCTTCCTGACACCATAGATTCCCAAGTTGGCATCTACGTGGACGACACTACAATTTACTCCTACCTCAAAAACAAATCTAGTGTCGCTGACAAAACTAACCTGGCTGCTCGTCTTGAAATGGACCTCCAATCAGTTGTTAATTGGGGCAAGAATTGGCTGGTCAACTTTAACGCCTCAAAAACTAAACTACTCTCTATTAATCACCATAGAGATCCTTCCCTGCCCCCCATTAGAATGTCTGATAGTCAACTTCTTGAGAACAACTCTCTGTGTCTGCTCGGTCTCACATTGACTGCTGACCTGAGATGGAACAAATACATTGAGTCAATTGCTTCGTCCACTGTGAGGAAAGTTGGCTCTCTGTGCCGCACCAAGAAATTTTTCTCCCCGGAATTGATACTTCAAATATACAAATTAACCATTTGCCCTTGCATGGAGTATTGCTGCTATATATGGTCTGGTGCACCTTCTGTTTACCTCGGAGTTCTCTTACAAAATCCAGAGGCGGATATGTAATATAATTGGCCCTGATCTGGCATCTCATCTACAGTTGCTCTCTCACAGATGCACCGTTGCTTCTCTCTGTCTTTTCTACAAATACTTTCATGGTAATTGCTCTGATGAGCTGCTTTCACTGGTTCCCAGACTTCATGAATTCAAGTGTCCTACGAGGCTGGCATCCCGCTCTCACCCTTTCACTGTAGAAACTTTTAAATGTAGCCATCTCTTCTACTCCAATAGCTTCATATCTCGCACCTCTCGCCTGTGGAACACCCTTCCCTATTACTCTTTCCCTGAGAGCTATAATCTCCAACTATTCAAATGTAATGTCAATCAACTTCTCCAGTTACCTTGATCTATCCACTATCCTTCTCCTCATCCTTTCTTCTATCACTCCTATCTGCTCCTTCTCCAAATCTTCTGCAACCCTCTGCATCCTAGTGGCTTCCTGACTTGCTCGGGGCGTAATGCTTTAAAAAAAAAAAAGGTTGGTCCTAACTTGTTCCTCATTACTTTGTTCTAGACAATGTTTAGTTTTAGTGCAGCTGTTGTAAGTCAGTGATTAATGAGGTAGACATGCAGTCCTATTGGTGAGTTTGATCTTCACTAAGTACCCAACTATTTCGACTTTGTACCATACTAAATCCAGTAAATTCAATGAGAATATTTTTTTTAGTTAAGGCAAAAGTTGTCATTCATAAAAAAGCAATAAAAATCTTCATAAGGTTTGATTTAGTTCCAGATATACAACATTTATCAGAGATTATTTCATAATGAAGAAAAATATTTCTATTTCACTTTGGGAAACAACATAAAAGTAATAATCCATATTAATGACAATACATAAAAAATATTTCAAATGAAGTTAACAAGATAGCCGTAGATTTTGTATGGAGTTTTTTGTCTTCTATATGCTTTGTCCTTTCAAGATTTGGACTATGTTAAAATATTACTTTTATATTTTTGAGTTTTAAAAAGAAAACTTATCAAACAATAAAGTTGGTGATATACTTCAGCTGAAAATGTTTTTGATAAACTTTCCAGACAAAATGACAAATATTAAAAAAAAAACTAAAAGTCTTGAATATAACAAATATTTTTGAAAGTGATAATGAGCTTTCACTTGACATGGCAAAAGTGACAACGGAAGCCATCCAACATCATAAAAAATTGGGACCAATCAGAGTGTCATTACTTTAATCATGACAACCATAGGACTGCCATGATTAAGACCATAACATGTTGTGATAGAATTAAAATCAGAAATTCTATCAGGTGAGTCAGATTCAGATCCCCATGAGGAAATATTTTATTATTACTCTGATCTTTGTTTTTTTTTTATCTCCTCCCATGAGATTTCTTTGCTTTTCATTTTTCTTTCACCTTTCCTTTGTTTATATTGATCTGTTTATTTATATTCTCTCTCTTTCTCAAATGTCAAGCCTGAACATTACGTAAATGAATGACGGCTTTAGAATACCATGTGCTGTAAGCTTGGATGTATAGGTGGTGTAATGGATAATGGCTTGGAATTGGAAATCAGAGAGCTGAGTTCCAATTTCAGTCAAGTTCATTATATTATGCACAAATACCTATGGGAAAGGTATAAATCCAACTCTTCTCCAACCAGCTATGGATTAATTAGTAGAATGTGTATCAGTAAATCAATATTATCTCAAAAAAATTTATTTCTGGCTTTAAATAACCTGAAAAAGGTTGATAAGCCATAAAAAAACAAACAAATGAATCAATCTTTTTCTCTTCCTGAATCTTTCACCTTCTTTTTCTGTCTTCTCTTCTTACCTTTTTATTCCTCTCTCTATTTTTCACTTCAACCCAGAAATCTATATATTATTCTGCATCCAATATACTAAGCCCTGCTGGCTCAAAATATTCAGCTCCAACAGATCAAAATGAGTTGCTATTTGAAAACCTGTGTCTTATATGACAGCAAATCTGATTATTGTACTAAAGCATCAAAACTAGGATCAAATAACAATATTTTAATCACGTCTCTCATTCTCTTAGTAACTGATAAATGATTTATGTTATCCGTTGTCTTATCAACATTTTTCTCATGAATAAACACTTTTTTGATTGCCAACATCATCTTTCAACACCAAGAAATATAGGAAGATGAATTAAAAGTGACAGAAATCTGGCAGAGAGAACTTTCTCTCTCTCTAAAAATTTTCCCTATTCTTTGTGCATTTTTTTTTTTTCCTTGAGAAAAGGATGGGAAGACTTTCCTTTGATTGAACAAAAATGTTCTAAGATCAAACCAAACATTGGTAAAATTCTTCTGAAATTGGGTTTT